TAAACTACTGAATTTCCCAACAGGGATTAATAATATCTCATTTTATCTTATCTCATTTTATCTGTCAGGACCTCGACACAAACTGATGAACCCAAATGCACAACCCAGAGACCATAGGCGGAGTTTGACATGTGCACTTGGGGGGGGGGCAAACCTTTTTTACTGACGTCAGTACACAGTCCCAACTATTGCGTGGGGTGCTACGGATACAGTATCAATAAAACCAGCGTTCATCGCACTGAGTATGACTTTTCCACATACGAACACAACTCGTCCCGTCATGCACGCCTTATGCCCGCCGTACACACACACTTATATGGAAGGTGCGCCGTCTCTCCCCCAACAACAGTGCATTACATCTGTAAAACTTATCATAACTGTGCACATCTTATACTTATTTGATAACTACTATATCCCTTGGTTACTTGAACACGATACAATATTATTAACCAGTGTCCTACTTAGTGCAGAAGTAGACGCCTTAAACGTCCCAGAAATTGGACGTTTTAAAAATCGCCGCATATCTTATTGTAATACAATAGCTGAATCACTTGTATGTAAAAAAAAAAGCGAGGAAACTTGTGTCCTTAACCTCATACGTCACACACACACACACACACACACACACGTCACAACATGCGACTGCTCAAAAATGAAATTATTTTTAACAAAATATGATATTATTCAGATTTGTATTGTAACAATCATTATATTACATCTATTAAAATATTGATTAATTTTCCAGCTTTTGTATCCGTATATCAGAACGGAATGATAAAGAGGACTGTGGTTCAGTCGTTGCATGGTGTTCATGCTGTGCTGAGGCGACTTCAACACATTGTTTGGTATTCTGAAGGTGTTTCTTTGCAAATACTTCACAGATACTGTCCTGTCTCTAAAGCACTTCAAATGTATCCAAAGCACATGTGTTTACAATCTGGAGTTGCTAACCTTTCAGAAAATAAAACCCTCTCTCTTTTCCTCCGTACCCAAATCTTTTAAAAACGGGTGTACAACGAGCGGATACAGATTCCATCCGAGCTGACGTCAGCCCGGAATAATTGGCGGCGGACCCACAGAAAGTTGCTATCAGAAACAATGCCTGACGTGTTTTGGACGTAATCTCGTTTTTGTTTACATTAGCAAGCCTCGCTAACACTCAGAGCTAACCTGTACTGGAGAGCACATGTGTTTTAAAAAGCAGGAAATAAAAAAAAGAACTCACCTTGTGATAAACCTGCAAGAGAAAAAGCATTTGAGCTCCATACTGTTTCAGAAATAATCCTTGATGTGGTTTAGAACAGGATGGCGTTTTATCACAGCAGAATTTAACTTTATCTCCGGTAGAATTCTGATCAGGCATTAGCTCCGCCTCCTCTTCTTTTAGCATGATAGGTCCACTTTATGCCCCGGCCACACGAGGACGATAACGGCTAAACGCATAGGATTAACGCAAACGCAATCGCAAAAAAGCTTCCGTCCACACGCAATAGTCATCCGGATAGTGTCTGCCCACACGAGACCGCTCCGTTTAGCTCCAACCGCTGGAGAAGCTGCAGTACATAGCGCAGGAGCCTGTACGTGGCGCTGTAACTTCCTCCACAAAAGCAGCGAAGAAGCATGGTTGTCATGGTTACCCTTCTGTTTATTCTCCGCGGTGGGGGCCGAGGGAACCGGGCAGAGTTTTTCGCCAGTCAACGTGTATTAAAGTTTAAATCTTCCGACAAAATTATAAAAGTGCCGGTCAAAGGTCTTCTTTGTTATTTATTGAGCTTTAAAACAAATGAATAACGACTCTATATATTATAATAATAAAATACACGGAGCCTCTCTTTTTCCTCCCTCTCTTCGGACAGCGCCAGTGTCTGTTTCATGCAGCAGCTGATCCAGTAATAAGTGACCCGGCCAACAGTAAAAATAAACATATTTATATCTAGTAAGGTAGTTTGAGAGGTAATTAAAATAGCTAGGGGTGATGATCTGACTTGAAATGTGTGTTTTACTCCGTTCACCACCGCATCACAGCGGGAGGAGCTGCAGGTAAGCAGAGCTGCGTGTCTCCGTCCTGTCAGATTAGACTTCACTCGCGTTTAGGTCCATATCGAGAGAAAGATAAATAATCTGAATTCAGTGTGCAGTTTACTTTGACGCGGGGGTGAGCAGCAGAGGTGGGGAGAGGCGGGGCTATTGCCTCATCATTATCAGAAAATGATCGTATAGGGCGCACACGGAGCCGTTGGAGCCCCCAGAGCGTTGCGTATGCCGTTCTATCCACCTTGGGACCCGTTATCGTTTACGCAGTCGTTTAGTGCCGTATTCGGTCGTCCTCGTGTGGCCTAACGGTCTATATGACACTAAACAGTAACGCAAACGACCGTTTTCGTCCTCGTGTGGCCGGGGCATTAAACTATAAGCAGAGGAAAGAACTTGAGAGCTTTCAGAAGAACAGCTGATGGATGCTTCATTTCTGATCACATTGATCTTCTTCTTGAGGGATTATTATCAGCATGAGCCTTGTTTGATTTCCCCATCGTTCACATTTAACTTGGTTTTTGGCGGAGTGACGCCTAGGAGGACTGAGGCTAGGTTTTCAGGAAGAAAGCCAACTCTTCCACTGGGAAAAGCTGTCAAATTGGGACAAGGCGCAACAGAACCAAAGTGTAAGGTGCCAGTTAGCTTAGTCTATGATCTGAGGAAGAACAGGCCGCAGCAACACTAATGACAGCAGCGGCATTGACCAGTTTTTAGCACTAACATGGTCCAAGCAGATGCTCTAATGTCATCAACAGCAACTATACAGTACAACAACGTCTCTGTCTGCAATGCTGGCCTATAGTGTTATTGTGTAAATGAAAAAGAGGGAGTTGCAGCAAGGAGAAAAAGCTGAATGGAGGAGGGTCGTCCCATTCAGTGTTTGGACAGCTGCACCCCTCCTCCTCCTCCTCCTCCTCCTCCTCCTCCTCCTCCTCCTCCTCCTCCTCCTCCTCCTCCTCCTCCTCCTCCTCCTCCTCCTCTGTAGGCTACCTGCCTTAAAGCTACCTCCTTCCTCCCTCCATCCTTTAGCTTTCCCCAGATTCAACCCTCAGTGTGACCGCGCTGCTTACTGAATAATGAGAGGATAAAACAGCAGTGGTGACGGTTTGTTCTCTGCCAAGATTTCAACCTGTGGAGCCAGTGAAATTTTAATAAGCTCTTATAGCCATGCGCTCCTAATTGTGCTTTAATGCAGCAGATTTTTACGACCACGCTGAGACTCATTTGATGGCTTCTTTGGTAAATGGGGAAATAAGTAAGGCATCTTGAATATGGTGGAAGCGGAACAGATATTAGTTTGGTCATATTCCCTAGTCTCACAGCATCCACCTGCTTTTGAAAGAGTACACGTTGCCTCTTTATGAAGCTGTTCGGAGCGGTCTATCTTTGAGGCACATCACAATGCTTAAAAGGTCTTTCACACACAAAGACAGCTCAAAAAGGGTACAAATTAGCGTCCTTTCCCCTGGCGTCTTGTTTTGTGCTTGAGATGTGTGAAGATTACAGCATTTACACAAATTCATGCATACAATGTCTGTCAGAGGACCTCCTGCAAGTCCTAAACAGCACTGCAAGTGTTTCATTTCTGATGAAGACCAATCCACTGATATCTCAAGGTAATCATTCCTGGATGTTAAATTATACCTCCAGTATTGAAGTTCCAAGGCGCGTTAATGGGAAAAGACTGTGGCAATCACACAGCAGTAACCTCAGCCTATTATGAATGAAGAATGTATGAATGTAATTAATGCAGGCTTGGGGTAAAGCCTTAATAAAACCATCCATCAGCCTGTCTGTCCCACTCCAACCAGTCTCCAGTCTCATTAGGGATTATTGTCACCCACCCTTCTGTAGGTAACATTCCTCAGTGAATGCAGAATCTACCCCAGAAAATGCGATATGAGCACGTTAGCATTTAGCATGTTACGTAGACTAAACTTGCATTTGTTATTGCTGTTTAATTAAGGTCCCTGTAAGTCTGCAAAGAGGGTTGTACTGTAAGTGACACACTCAATCACGTTCAGTTGAAATGATATGATGTTGTTCTTGAACACTTTTCGGGACACATCTCTTGTTGCTGCAATGTGCAATACAAACATTATCTGCAGTTGTACGATGCTATGGTCACGATATAAATGTCTTAAAGGTCACCTATTATGCAAAATCCTCTTCTTCATGTATTTTCAACATCAACATGTGTCCCCTCTTCTTCATGTCTCTTCTTCATCAACATGTGTCCCCTCTTCTTCATGTCTCTTCTACATCAACATGTGTCCCCTCTTCTTCATGTCTCTTCTACATCAACATGTGTCCCCTCTTCTCAATGTCTCTTCTACATCAACATGTGTCCCCTCTTCTTCATGTCTCTTCTACATCAACATGTGTCCCCTCTTCTCAATGTCTCTTCTACATCAACATGTGTCCCCTCTGTGTAAAGAGACCCTGAAAGTTTCAGGAACAAAGATTCTCTCTCTTTTTGTCCTGATCCATTTCTATAAAAACCTGTCTGAAAATGAGCTGATCAGATTTTGGCCACTTTATGATGTCATAACGATGTTTTGTCTTGTGTAACCATTAGCCAATCAGCAACCAAGGTAACCCCCCCCCCCCCCCACCTTATCACCTGAATCTCCTCCTAGAGCACCATTGAGTTCTTTGTAACCAAATCTCTCTCAGAGGGGCTCCTTATTTTCATCTAAAGTAACAGACAGAGAATCAGCATTTTGGAAACAGAGGGGATTATGGGTAATGCTGCAATGACCTGTTTGGTGTTTGGAGCCAAACACTTCAGAGACATGTTTTGTATATCAGAGACCTATTATATATTGATGAAAAACAGTATAATAGGGGACCTTTAAAACTTAATTCAACGTTTGCTGTAACACTGTAAATGTCCCCGCTGTGGGACATATAAAGGACTTCTGATTCTGACTGTTCCCCCTCCTCTCTCCCCTGTGTGTCCTCAGATTGTTTTCCAGTAAGTGCAGCGGTTGTCTGGAGAGCATTTCTCCCTCAGCGTTCGTGATGCGAGCTCTGGACAGCGTTTTCCACCTCAGCTGCTTCTGCTGCTGCGTCTGTGAGCGTCAGCTGAGCAAAGGAGACGAGTTTGTCCTGAGAGACAATCAGCTGCTGTGCAAAGATGACTACGAGAGAGAGCGTCTCATTACAGTCAGTCCACACACCTCGGACTCAGGTAACATATGGGCAGAGGTGGGAAGTAGTGTGGTACGAATACTTTGTTACTGAACTTAAGTACATTTTTCTGGTTTCAGTACTTTACTCCACTACTTATTTTTCTGACGACTTTTTACTTTGACTTCTTACATTTTTACCACAAATACCTGTACTTTCTACTTCTTACATTTTGAACCCAAATACCTGTACTTTCTACTTCTTACATGTTGAACTCAAATACCTGTACTTTCTACTTCTTACATGTTGAACACAAATACCTGTACTTTCTACTTCTTACATGTTGAACCCAAATACCTGTACTTTCTACTTCTTACATGTTGAACACAAATACCTGTACTTTCTACTTCTTACATGTTGAACACAAATACCTGTACTTTCTACTTCTTACATGTTAAACACAAATACCTGTACTTTCTACTTCTTACATGTTGAACACAAATACCTGTACTTTCTACTTCTTACATGTTGAACACAAATACCTGTACTTTCTACTTCTTACATGTTGAACACAAATACCTGTACTTTCTACTTCTTACATGTTAAACACAAATACCTGTACTTTCTACTTCTTACATGTTGAACTCAAATACCTGTACTTTCTACTTCTTACATGTTGAACACAAATACCTGTACTTTCTACTTCTTACATGTTGAACACAAATACCTGTACTTTCTACTTCTTACATGTTGAACTCAAATACCTGTACTTTCTACTTCTTACATGTTGAACTCAAATACCTGTACTTTCTACTTCTTACATGTTGAACTCAAATACCTGTACTTTCTACTTCTTACATGTTGAACTCAAATACCTGTACTTTCTACTTCTCACATGTTGAACTCAAATACCTGTACTTTCTACTTCTTAAATGTTGAACCCAAATACCTGTACTTTCTACTTCTTACATGTTGAACTCAAATACTTGTACTTTCTACTTCTCTCATTTTCCAAACAGCTGGTTCCTTTAGTCTGAATGTGTGTTTGATGCGTGATCATTATTCTTTAGAGTCATTGCGTGCCTATTGATTTGAACACGATCCATGTATCCATCATTTCCTGGTCTTCTCTAAAGAAGAGGGACCAATGGAAACGTTGTCATGTTGCCGTTGTTCAGCATGGAAACATTCATTAGCTAACAATGACATTATTGTTCTATTAATATAAAGGGAGGTCAGGTACTCTTTAAAGCAGCTGCTAGTTATGGGTACTTTTTACTGAAGTACATTTCAAAGCCTCTTTACTTTGACTTGAGTAAAGAAGTTTAGTCAGTACTTCTACCAGAGTATTTTTAAACACGAGTATCTGTACTTCTACTTGAGTAAAGGATGTGTGTACTTTTGCCATCTCTGCATATGGGGAAACATCGTAGGCGGTTACAAACCAATGCAACACCAAGATCATATGAATTACTTTGTGAAACTTAGACACAATCTGCAGAAACCAGATGTGATTGTGTATTTTCTTGTGTTCCTTTTATATTTTTTTACATTTATATTCAATTTAATATGTAATATTCCATGCCTCACATACTTATGTATAATAATAATAACTTGCTTTACATTTTGTTACCGTACATTTGTAACTCAACATGTATATTTTCTACTTTCTTGTTTATTTCTCGTCTTTTAATTTGTATTGGACAATGCCTTGTCTTTTAATGCTCAATGATCAATAAAGTACTTCTTATCTTATCTCTGTGACAGATAAGAGTGAGGATGAGGATCTGAATGTACCCTCAGAGTGTCGTTCAGCAGGGAAACGCAGAGATGACAAAGACCCTCGTCGGCCCAAACGTCCACGCACCGTCCTCAACACCGTGCAGAGGAGAGCGTTCAAAGCCTCCTTCGATGTGTCCTCCAAACCCTGCAGGAAGGTGAGCACACAGAGTGAGATATTTTACTGAGGTAAAGAACAGCATCCTTAAACTATAATAGGTGTTTTTTCATACATTAAATAGACCTATAAAGGAAAGGAGTGTCATTATGTAATCTTGACAAATCATTCCTGTCATAACAAGCCGTACTATAACCCATCATATCTGGGTAATTTCTGACAAAACAAATGCTAGTTTAATGAATGAATGATTACTTATTCCCCTTAATCAGTAACTTTTCTAAATTCAAGCAGAAAAAAAGGACCCTTTTATGTTTTTTTGGGGGCTATTTCCCATTCCTGGAGTGTGTTATATTGGTTTTAGTGCATGTAAATGGTCTGTAAAGACTACAATCCCTTTTCTCTCCCACACACTCCTGCCCGAAATGCCTCCATTGGACTTGGTTTACTTCAGTAACATAATGACATCACTATATAGCAAACGCGGCGCCTCTATACGCTCGTGTTCCAACACACTGTACGTGATAGACTAAGGGGCGGTACATCTCTAAGCTGTTGACCAATCACAACAGAGCCGACCAGCTAACCAATCAGAGCAGACTGGGCTCTGGTTTCAGACAGAGGGTGAAAAGAGGTGCTGTAGCACAGACAGTATGAGAAAAATAAAGAGCTTTTTGAACATTAAATAATGGAGACATGTAGAGACACTACATACTGATATACACCTGAACATCAGCAGGAGAGGACTCTTTAAAGTAGAGACACTACATACTGATATACACCTGAACATCAGCAGGAGAGGACTCTTTAAAGTAGAGACACTACATACTGATATACACCTGAACATCAGCAGGAGACGACTCTTTAAAGTAGAGACACTACATACTGATATACACCTGAACATCAGCAGGAGAGAACTCTTTAAAGTAGAGACACTACATACTGATATACACCTGAACATCAGCAGGAGAGGACTCTTTAAAGTAGAGACACTACATACTGATATACACCTGAACATCAGCAGGAGAGGACTCTTTAAAGTAGAGACGCTACATACTGATATACACCTGAACATCAGCAGGAGACGACTCTTTAAAGTAGAGACGCTAAATACTGATATACACCTGAACATCAGCAGGAGAGGACTCTTTAAAGTAGAGACACTACATACTGATATACACCTGAACATCAGCAGGAGACGACTCTTTAAAGTAGAGACGCTAAATACTGATATACACCTGAACATCAGCTGGAGAGGACTCTTTAAAGTAGAGACACTACATACTGATATACACCTGAACATCAGCAGGAGAGGACTCTTTAAAGTAGAGACGCTACATACTGATATACACCTGAACATCAGCAGGAGAGGACTCTTTAAAGTAGAGACACTACATACTGATATACACCTGAACATCAGCAGGAGAGGACTCTTTAAAGTAGAGACACTACATACTGATATACACCTGAACATCAGCAGGAGAGGACTCTTTAAAAGTAGAGACACTACATACTGATATACACCTGAACATCAGCAGGAGACGACTCTTTAAAGTAGAGACGCTAAATACTGATATACACCTGAACATCAGCAGGAGAGGACTCTTTAAAGTAGAGACACTACATACTGATATACACCTGAACATCAGCTGGAGAGGACTCTTTAAAGTAGAGACACTACATACTGATATACACCTGAACATCAGCAGGAGAGGACTCTTTAAAGTAAAGACACTACATACTGATATACACCTGAACATCAGCAGGAGAGGACTCTTTAAAGTAGAGACACGACATACTGATATACACCTGAACATCAGCAGGAGAGGACTCTTTAAAGTAGAGACACTACATACTGATATACACCTGAACATCAGCAGGAGAGGACTCTTTAAAGTAGAGACAATACATACTGATATACACCTGAACATCAGCAGGAGAGGACTCTTTAAAGTAGAGACACTACATACTGATATACACCTGAACATCAGCAGGAGAGGACTCTTTAAAGTAGAGACACGACATACTGATATACACCTGAACATCAGCAGGAGAGGACTCTTTAAAGTAGAGACACTACATACTGATAGACACCTGAACATCAGCAGGAGAGGACTCTTTAAAGTAGAGACACTACATACTGATATACACCTGAACATCAGCAGGAGAGGACTCTTTAAAGTAGAGACACTACATACTGATATACACCTGAACATCAGCAGGAGAGGACTCTTTAAAGTAGAGACAATACATACTGATATACACCTGAACATCAGCAGGAGAGGACTCTTTAAAGTAGAGACACTACATACTGATATACACCTGAACATCAGCAGGAGAGGACTCTTTACATATTATGCCCACCTGAAAGTGGGCATAATATGTCCTCTTTATATCAAATTAAGGCCTTTCAGACATTTAGGACATATGCCGTACACTAGAAATGCTGTCAGTGTGAATACGAAGCTGATGAGTGTGTCTGTGCTGGGCTTTCAGGTGAGAGAGACCCTGGCTGCAGAGACAGGACTCACCGTCCGCGTGGTCCAGGTCTGGTTCCAGAACCAGAGAGCAAAGGTCAGTAACAACAAGACGTCAACTCTCACATTGTGATCCTAGCAAACATTTCCTGGTCTCCCACATCGTTTCCCTGAGAAGCACCAACATGGCCTCCTTAATACCGGACACTTTCACACAGCAGGCAGAAGTGATGTCATAATTCAGATCACATGTGAAAATGGAGTGTCACTCTCCTTTCTTTGGCCAAAAGTGCTTAATTGTCTAAACCACTTCTACATCAGTTAAGCTTCAGTGGATCAAACTTGCATAATCTGCTATTTGCTCGGCTTGGTGGCATTTGGGAGAATAAGCTCCTCTAAGTGTGAATATCCATCAGGCTTTTCACTGCAGTCCATTAGCAATCTATAAGCATTACATGGCTTGTTTACTCAAGTCAAAATATATCCAATATACCCAAAATCATTGCTGAAATGTTCGATACAGATGGTTTGTGTTGTAATGATCATTGCTTTACAATTATTATAATTAACACAAAAAGTCAACCACCCAGAGCCAGGGGAATTTATTTTAAGCAAGGAAAGAAACAGCTCAACATATAAGCAGATCAAAAGTTAAACTTACTATTCCAGCGTCTCTTCTGTCAGCTGAAAATATACATTGCCCCATTTCTGCTTACTTGCAATAAGAAATGACACAGCTGCTTGAAACTCTGAACCCTTGGACAATTTGATATTTTCTTATTATTCACAGTTACCATGTGCAGACTTAAACCAACGTATATCTTCTTCCTCTTTGCCATAAAGCTCCATTGATTAAAAACTGCACTCAGCAAAATACTCAGAAAATACTGAAATCGGATATTTGTGAGTTGTCCTGTGTACACCATACTTGCCAACCCTCCCGATTTCATTGCCCTCTCCCGGTTTCCTCCCGGGGTCATATTTCTCCCGCATTTCTCCCGATTTCTGACAAAATCAGATTTACTCAGGACTGTTTCCACTCGGACTTTAATACAGCTACACCATTGTTTGGTTTCCATGGTAGCGCGTCTCTTTGGCAGCGCACGCAACTCAAAGTCTGAGAGGGTGAGGCAGATAGTCACAGAAAACGGAACAAGAATCGACAACACGACCCTCTGTAATACAGGTCCAGGCAATAACAAGTAACATAGACATTAGCTCTAAGGCTGGAGCCACACGAGGACGATAACACAAACGGATCAAAATTGATATCAAAAAAGTCTTCCGTCCACACGCAATAGGCAGACGCTGTAGTACATATGCCGGGCCTGCCACAAAAGCAGCGAAGAAGACTTCCCGCGCATGTTTGCCATGGTTGCCCTTCTGTCTTTTCTCCCTCCCTGAGGCAAGCGTTTGCTCCTGCTGTAGATCTCTCCGGTAGTCCACCAGCAGATGACAAACACCCACCTCTCCGCCTCTTCCAAGGAACGAGGGGACCGTGCGGCAGAGTTTCAGTTAGATTTTTTTTCGCCGGTCAACATGTCCGTTAACGTTTAAATGTTCCGGACACAATTTGAAAAGTGCCGGTCAAAGGTCTTCTTTGTTATTTATTGAGCTTTAAAACAAATTGATAAAAAACTCTATATGATAATATAAGAATAAAACCGGAGCCTCTCTTTTCCTCCCCCTCTTCTGAGAGCCCAGCAGCTGATCTCTGAGCAGGAGAGGCGGGGCTATTGCTTCAACGTTATCAGGACATGATCGTATAGGCGTAAACACGGAGCCGTTTTCCCCCCCAGAGCGTTTCGTCCGCAGATCTACCCACCTAGGGACCCGTTATCGTTAACGTTTTCTGCGTTTCCATGTCGGCCTCGTGTGGCCGAACCGTCTATATGATAGAGAACTGTAGCGGATATGACCGTTATCGTCCTCGTGTGGCTCGGGCCTAAGAGTAGAGAGTTGGCCCAGTTTGAGAAACGGCGAACAGTATACATTAAATTATATATAATGTATACGGTAATGATCTCAGGTGCACATTTGGCTTCAATGTGAATTTTGTCACTTGATGATATTTCAAATTACTCCTGTTAAACTGTTTAAAACACACGCTCAAAGTAAGCCGGATTGTGCCGATGTGTTTTTGTGGATTCAAAAGTCGTAAATAATCTACAAAATGGAGGAGACCGATCTGATCGGAGCAACTGTGACGAATAATCCAACTGAAACCGGCATGGACAATAACTATGCTTTAAAAATGCGCTTATCCAGACAAGCCTGGTTTGGACACTTTACGAGCAGAAGAAACATTTCTATAGAAAGAATTATACATTTCTGTCTTTTTATGCCTTTAATACTAACTTGAATTTTTATTCAAATGAATTAATCAATTATTTTTTACATTTTAATGAAATGTAGAGACAAGGCTTTTAGCGACAATCATGTATTGCTTTACAATTATATGTAAAAAAAAGTCTAAATATGATATTTGGCCTCATAGGTTGGGAACCACTGCCATAACCATTATATTCCAAACAGTCAACGAATTGGGATCCATTTTTTTCAAACCTAAGACTTTTGTTCAGAATACGACTTTTTGAATATGTTATTTAGTGGTTGGAGACTAATAAGTTCATCCACATGTGTTCAGTCAGTTTCTCCTTAATGCAAGCTTTGTTCTGTGTTTACGTATTCACAGATGAAGAAGTTAGCTCGCAGACAACAGCAGCAAAACGAGCAACACAACAGCCAGAGGGTAGGCCAAGGTGAGGAACTATCGTGTGTGTGTGTGTGTGTGTGTGTGTGTGTGTGTGTGTGTGTGTGTGTGTGTGTGTGTGTGAGCTGCTTCTCTGATGTTATTAAAGTGAAAAGCACTCGTGATGTCTCTCTGCAACATGTAATCTTTCCATTATAATTGTGATGATAGCGATTAGTGAGAACTCTGTAATTAATACATTATTTGGAGAAGCAGCTTGAAATATTAAATGTATTATGGGAGTAGAGTCGCTCAGTTTATCAAGCTTCACGATGAGTCCCATGCTATAAAGAGTTCTGCAGACATGAGTCCTTCTGCAGCTCAGACCCTCATGGCTGGAGGCTTATTGCCACTGTGGTCTCTCAGCTATATGAGCTGCACACAGTTTAGATAAGTGTCCCAGTGTTTTGGCAGGCGCTGCCTCTATCTGTTCAGGGACTTCCAGCATGTCAATATTGGCAGAGCAGCGGGCTTTATTACAGTGGAAGCTGCTGTTGTTAAACAAATGAGCTGAGCAAACCAGCACATGGGGGTTGTTTGAGATTGATGTTAGCTTGAGAGGAAACCTCCTGGATGACATCTTCAAAATCACCAAGACCAGTCAGTCAGTTTAGACAATCCATTTACAATATATGCTTTCATAAGAAAACCCGTTTGTTGTACAGCAGTATGAACATAAATGCATGGTTTTAGTGTCTGTGTTCAGAACTATAGTTACGTTGCGTCGCTAATACTTTTGTACTTTTTCTTCAGTAACATTTTGATTGCAGGATTTTTACTTGTAACAGAATATTCCTACACTCTGGTACTTCTACTTTAACTCAAGTACAAGATCTGAGTACTTCTACTTTAACTCAAGTACAAAATCTGAGTACCTCTACTTTGACTCAAGTACAAGATCTGAGTACTTCTACTTTGACTCAAGTACACGATCTGAGTACTTCTACTTTAAATCAAACACACGATCTGAGTACTTCTACTTTGACTCAAGTACACGATCTGAGTACTTCTACTTTAACTCAAACACACGATCTGAGTACTTCTACTTTGACTCAAGTACACGATCTGATCTGCTCACAAGTATAGGAAGACGAGGTTTTTGTTTGTGTGTTTGTTTTAGTTTGTTTTAATGATTATGTGCAGCACTTTGAATTGCCTTTGTGTCTTAAAATGTGCTATACAAATAAACTAACCTTGATGTGTTCATGTCCTACTGTATGTGCACTGGAAAAAATGCTGGTCCAAAAACAAGTTGAATCACTTGAAATAAGTAAAAACATCTGCCAATAGAACAAGTGAAAATTAGCTTGGTAAGATTTCTTGAAAAAAGAAGGGATATTTAGACGAATCACATCTTGTAATTAGCTGGGAGAACTCATTTTGAACTATATTTGACCAGAATCAGGAGATGTTGTGTTACAATATAAGCCTCAAAAGCTCAAAAGTGTTCTGATGTTAGTTGGTGATTTTCCAATAAATATGATACGACTCAAAATAAGATTTTTGGACTTGACAAGATGATGCATTGTCTATAAACAAGACCCTATATCTCACAGCGTTGTTACTTCTGAAGTTATTATGTCTTATAGCAAGTGTGAAGACATATTCTGACTAGATATTAGACAAATATACTTGGCAAGATTTGGAGTTTTTGTAGTGTGGCCCCTGCGTCTGAGAGTTATAACCCTGCTCCCTGTGTTACAGATGGGATGTCGATGGAGGGTCTGCTTAGCTCGTACTCAGGCCATCTTCCTCTCACCCAGCAGCTGGGGATGGATCCCAGCAGATACTCTGAACCCTTCCAGCAGGGCCTCACGCCGCCTCAGATGCCTGGTGACCACATGAACCCCTACGGTAATGACTGCGCATGAGTGTGTGTCGTTTTATTTTTGCATGTACTATGAATTCTCTTTCCTTCCTCAATGCAGCACTAAGCACCTCAGACAATGATTTGTGCCTGTAGCCATCAGGCTGCACAATCAAGGGATCATCATGTCATCCATTCAAAGTGACCCATACTGTATAAAAGCTGCACTGTTTGTACAAATGACTCTGACCTTTACTTGCATCTGCACATGTCACATACATGTAAATATACTGTATAGCTGTGTTAACTTCTGTCTGCTCGTTACAGATTCCCTCAGTAATGGAGTAAACCCTAACCTAAGTGTATTAAAAACATTCATATCCATCTCTTTGACTTCTCTTTGTCTCCTCTGCTCTTCCCAGGCACTGACTCCATCTTCCATGACTTTGACAGTGACACTTCTCTCACGAGTCTAAGCGACTGTTTCATGGCCGCTCCAGATGTCGGCTCCTTGCAGAGTCGGGCGGGAAACCCCATCGACCGTCTGTACTCCATGCAGAACTCCTACTTTGCCTCATGTGGCCCCAACATCACCGCTGGTACCACCCAACCCACAACGACACATCCCAGGTCATGAAGAGTGAGCATATAATGGTGCAAGGTGCAAGGAAATATGACTACAGGCCAGAATCCACCAAATATACCTGAAGGACCTCCACCAGCAAAAGGGAAAAGGAGAAATTTGACTTGCATCAAACCCCCAGGAAGAGAGTTTAATTGTGTTGTGGCCAATCGGTGGTACTACAACTTCCATGTCAGTCCGTGACGTCAAGAGGCGCTTTCACACCGGAGTACTTTTACCCGTACTTTTCCCGTTTAGTTCCGTTAGTGGCTGGAATTTTGCGTTCACACCAAAAAGAGAATTTAGTTCGGGGTACTTTTACCCCCATTTTTAGTGCCTGCTAGAGAGGTGGGATTATCCTGGGGAGAAAAAAGTACCAATTTCGATTGGCTGGGCGAATTGCAAACCACGCCCCGTAAAACTCTGACAAGTTGTGTGAAGCCGCCATTGTATTTGCTGGCATTAGCATTATTAGCATTAGCCCCGCGCACCAACGGAGAGAGAATAACTTATGGCAACTTCGGTTGGCAGTATACGCCGTGAAGTTGTTTGCGGCCTGCCAGTAAACCCAAAGCAGAAGAAGAAGAAGTGACGTCAGCGGCTTCATTTGCGTAATCTTCCCTCAGGGAACTTATTCCGGTGTGAACGCGATCTGTACTTAGTTCCATGGGGGTACTAAGTGCTGGGAACTAAGTACGGCAAAGTACTTGGTGTGAAAGCGGCTATTTGGACCAAAAAGACTATTTTCCATTGACTTACATTGGGAAAGAGACGTCTGTAAACCAGCGTTTTATTTATTTCTTAGCTAAATCAACTACCCAGTATGAACACTTCAATAGCTCTTATTTAAAGGGGGTCCTTAAGATTGTAGAATGCGCTAAATGCTGAATTCAGAGTTATCTTCCCTTTCATTTGTTTGATTGAGCCGAGACCAACAGACTGAAGTGTGCATGCTTTATAGGCCAATGGTTTAATGGCAATGTTTTGACATTTTGGTTTAATGCGCCACTGAGCAACTTTGATAGGAATAAAAAGGGCCCTGCATCCAACATCATATCTTGTTTTTTCCACTCTGCACATGGTTTGAAGTGGTACATTCAGCTTTTTAAACTGTTGGAGATCTAGCTGCCAATATTTGTACTGATATCACAGTGAAAGTGTTTATTAGTCGTATGAAAAGTGGGACAAAAGTTCAAGTTTCTGTGACAGGAACACTGCGCTTCAGGCTTCTGAGTGCGTAACACAGTTCAACAGGTGCATTAATAATGTTGTTTTTAATGCAACGATAAAGTAAATATAGTTTTGGTAATATGTTATTTAAGCCAAACGCCAAACTGTATTGCTGCAAAAAGTGATTGCTTTCTGTTCCTGGATGTAAATAATGTTTTAAATGTAGTTACGGTTCTGAAGAAGCATCCAGTTTTGCATGTTGGGATGGACAGCGATTTATTTATTTCTCACAAACATGCTGGTATACATAACATAAAAAGACTATATTTAAAAAGACAATATGATCCAATTGTAAAGTCCGAAAAACGAACATGTATGTAATTAGTTGAGTATTTGATTTATGCTATTTATCATGGTATTTGCGTTGCTTAATGAGTGTGTGAATGACTGATGCTTTGCTATTTATTTTTAAATTGAGATCATCTGGACAGAGTGACTTTTACATTTGCAGACTTACCAAAAGTGTTGAAAAATTTAAAATAAAACAAATCTTTCACTTGAATTCTTGCATTTATTTGTTGAATAGAAACTGTGAATCTTGCATGGAAATGTTCACTGCACTGATTGTTTATACATAGCCTACAATACGTTTAAAGGAAAAAATACTTTAAAGGTCCCATGTCATGCTTTCCTGGTTATTACCCGTCCCCTTGTGTTATGTAGCTTTTTCTGCATGTAAACGGTCTGCAGAGTCACAAACCCTCAAAGTACACCCTGTAGCGAGTAAAACTCTAACACAGAGAAGACCTGTCTGTGCTGCCCCAGAACGCCTCGTTGGAGATTTCTCTTTTTCCATTGTTTACTTCCTGGGTATAGTGACATAACGTAACGGCCCCGCAGATTGGTCCAAAAGAACCAATCCGCGGAGCCGTTACGTCCGGAGCCGTTACGTTTGGACCAATCCGCGGACTTCCTCACACACACCTGACACACACACACACACACTCGGCGGGAGGTTGCAAGGCTCGCTGCTGCGAGGAGCGGGACACTGTGAGCTGGCTCAGTGGTGTGGGGTCAGCGAGACACCGTGGAACTCAGCCTGGGCACACACACAAACTCCCAGCCAGTGTGTGTGTGTGTGTGTGTGTGTGTGTGTGTGTGTGTGTGTGTGTGTGTGTGTGTGTGTGTGTGGGTGTGTGTGTGTGTGTGTGTGTGTGTGTGTGTGTGTGTGTGTGTGTGTGTGTGTGTGTGTGAGACATATGAGGTTAAGGACACAAGTTTCCTCGCTTTTTTTTTACATACAAGTGATTCAGCTATTGTATTACAATAAGATATGCGGCGATTTTTAAAACGTCCAATTTCTGGGACGTTTAAGGCATCTACTTCTGCACTAAGTAGGACACTGGTTAATAATATTGTAGCGTGTTCAAGTAACCAAGGGATATAGTAGTTATCAAATAAGTATAAGATGTGCACAGTTATGATAAGTTTTACAGATGTAATGCACTGTTGTTGGGGGGGGGCTGGGTTTCGCAGACGGCCACTGGGCTCACAGGGAGGGGGGGGCAGGAGCTCCAACAAGCCGTGTAGGACAGAGAGTGAATACACGTACTATACAGAGATTGATTGATTGATTGAAAAGTTTATTAACAGCTTGTATATTGGGTACAGTACAGTACAGCTCAAAACATACAATTGTTAAGGGGATGCAGACCAGAGAAAGACTTTCGTCTTGTTTACATCAGGGTCCCCCATTTCCAATTCATCATGTCATTTAAGACATATAAGACATATTTGACATACAGATGGCTTGTTTACAATTTTCATTTTAGATTTCGTTCTAATACATCCTAACCGGACATTTAAGACATACCAAGTCTACAGATATACAGTTAGTAAGAGTCTAAAATGGGAGTATATACATAGATGGGGGGGGGGGGAAGCTGTCCATTGAACGACAGGTTGAGATTTGTACCATTACCGGGGCCAGTTTTGCAATGCTCTCCCCCGAAGGTGCTCTTTAAGAGAGGTTTTGAAGGTAAGTATAGTTTTACTTTCCTTTAGATGCTGTATGAGAAACCAATGTGAGTTTGGAAAATTGCACAATATACATTTATTTTAGTAGACCTCAACAATGGAATTATGATCAGTAGAAATGGCCGTGACATGGGACCTATATACAGTCTATGCATGGGACCTTTAATTTCATGCTCACAGTGACGATGCTGACATTCAGATGTTTACCATTAAGTTATTAGTTTCGACCTGATGATGGTAGTCGATGAAAAGTCACAGGATCACCAAAGTAATCACAATTTATCCTGAGTGGGTCATGAAGGTCTTTGCAAAATGTAGAGCCAATCCATAGTTGTTGATAAAGGGAGTGTGTATGAGTGTGTGCCCTTGTTGGTGGAGCGCTGTAAAGAATATGTGATCGGTCCTTTTGTTTACACACAACCGTCTAAAGAATACAAAAGATCGAGAGCTTTGAGTCCCTATCTGTTGCTATGTTTAAAGCCAAATTACAAGTCACGGCAACCGCCTTACTAGCAAATCTAAGCTAGCATTAGCATAGGTGTGTTCATCACATAGTTCTCCCTGGCAGACTGCCTGTCTGCCAGGGAGAACTATGTGATGAACACACCTATGTCATCACTCTCGTGAAGTAGGATTATTTTATATATAAAAATGCATTCATATTAGTTTATACATATTTATAATAAACACTTTCATGTCAACAATGTTCCTGGACTGTCAGACGTACTTTATGTGCAGTAGGCTACACTTAATGAATAATTGAGTATGTACGACGCAGTGTGTCAGTAGAGACCTGACCAACAACAGAATACTCAAATCCCAAAATCCTAATGTTTCAAATATGGAGGAGCATCCCAGCAGCCTCGATGTAATTAAAGAATAAGCAGACAGAGGAGAGCGGAGAAGATATAGGCAGGGATAGCAGAGATAAACAAGGAGGCAAGTGAAGAGAGGGAGAGTGAAAAGATTGAGGAGGAGAACAGGAGGGGAATTCCCAGGAACCAGGAGGTGAGAGTTTGGCCTGAGGTGTGTAATCCTCTGAGATGTTAGGCAACACCAGACCAGCTCCTCCATCTTCCTGACAGCTCCTCGTGCTCCCAATCCTTCACTGAGATCTGTCTTGATGAGCAGCTTCTTCCCTCAGATGTCGTCGTTTTCTTTCTTCTTATATCCCCCCTCTCATCTACTGCACAGACACCCTGAAGGAGGAGCCATTACTCATCGGTCCCTTCCTCTTTTGTCCCCAAGAGCAACAGATATATTGTCATGCTGACCCTAACGATACCTACAGGAAGCCAGGAACCTATAGGAATCTTAATCTAACCATTTACCCCCCAAACCTTCACCAGATCCAGGAGAGGCTGCATGGAACAAACAAAAAACTCTACGAGCGTAAAGCCAGGTTATTATCAATGCTAGCGTGTCATGATTGAATAAATACTGCTATGAGACTGCAAACACTTTAAACATGTCTGTTTTTCAAAAATGGCATCATTTGATAATACATTATTTTAAAGATTGAATTTATGAGTTGCAGTGGTGTAAAATAACTAAGTACATTAAGTACATGTACGTAAGTACAATCTTGAGGTACCTGCACTTTACTTGAGTATTACCATGTTATGCTACTGTGTACTTCTACTCCACTACAGTTCAGAGGTAAATGGTATACTTTTACTCCATTACATGTATTTAATACCTTTAGTTACTTTACAGATCTGGATGAATGATGTGAAATCTAACCAAGTGTTAAATCAGACTTTAGTTCCACCTGGAGTAAATCCACCAGCTACCCTGCAGTATACAAAGTCATTCAAACTAGCTGCACCTTTACCAGCTTTGAGAACACTTTCATGATCAATCATTATAAAACATATCATTTATATTATTCTGAAATGGACCAATCTGCACAACGACTACTTTTACTGTCGCTACTTTAAAGGGATAGTGGAAATCCGCGAATTTTGGGTTTAACTTGTGTATTTTTTTTTAAAAATAAGCATAATAAACAATTTTTTTTAATTTCATGCGCCTAGTTTCATTTTATTTTCAATTTTACTGCGCTCTCTCAATGAAACGAAATACTTCGGGAATCGTCGGGAATCTTCGGGTGATGACGAGAGCAGAG